GTACACAAAAAGCCAAGTAGAATTTCTGATGGAATGATAGCTATGAATGCACCACCACTCCATGTTTCCATCATCATCACATCAGCAAAAATGTAGTGTGAAGTATATTCTCAAGGGAAACTCCGTCTACTTGTGCACTTATCCACCGGGGAAAAGGAACTTTTATGTACAAGGTTAAAATCGGATATAAAAGGTGGTTGAGATACAGAAACCTGATACGACGTCGATACACCACGTCATGAGAACACAAGCTACCTTTGGGTCTACTACTTGAAACTTTCCAACTACTACCATTCAATCCAAAAAAAACTGAAAGAATCCCGAGGTCAAAATAAGGCTTTTACCCAGGCCTTACTTAGATCGCAAAACATCACTGACAGTAAGCTTGCAAATCGATCCAAGGAAAAGAAGATACTAAATTATTTTCCACATTTTTTTGTGTGAGGGAGGTGATATGGTGATCTATATCCAGTATGGGAAATAAACCAATCAGTTGTCTCACGATGGGTAGATAGATGATCAATGGATAATCTTTTCTCACGCCTACGTCAATGGCTCATGTATGCATTCCTTGTTTACTATTGTTTTTTTGTAAATATACTTCCTATAGTTGGTTTGTAAGGATTAGTTTTGATTTCACGAGTTGATCACGTATTGATATCAGTTAGAGAACGATTGAAAACCAGGGAATACTGAACAGCTGTTTCATCCTAGTTTTGGGGATCATTGGCAATACGCACCCACCACCAGGGTTCGAACCCAGGACCTTCCGGTTACAAGGCGAGCTCGTATACCATTCAGCCACAGGGACCCGATTCAACGGCTCATGGATTCTAACTTCTACGAATTCGTGATTTAGTGCGACTCCAACCAATGTCATTGGTGGGACATCCATCCTCACACTTTACCGGATGTACCTCATTGGTCACGATTTCTCACTAAAACTCCAAGAAACTCTATCTAACTGATATCAATCCGGGATCAACTCGTAAAAACCAAAACAAACCTTACAAACCAACTATAGAAAAATTAATCTGATGCTTGCTAGTGACTTGCTACAGGATGGAGTTTCCTGTCCAGTACTCCCTGTGGCTGATTTTCAACGGTTCTCTAACTGATATCAATCCGTGATCAACTCGTAAAAATATACTTTCTATCTTACCTCTTTGTGTGTGCTCGCTTAAGTAGAGGCCTGAGAATCAGGTAGTTTTTATTTATGTTTCTGACAGAGCCAAGCAACTTTGTGACCACCGCATCTATTACCAGTTTGGCATCCCTATTCTACTCAATGTTTAACAAAATATGAATTAGCATCCATAGCTTTTAAAATGTTTTCAAAAGTGCTTATTATAATTTCCGTGACAATCTAACCGAAAGAATATGCCTAAGTATAAGAGATGGATGAAGTATGTTTTGCACCGAAAAAAGAAACCTTAGTATACTAAATAACACTAGTATTATTATTCTTTCGATCGCATCAAAACCGTGAGATCTGTTACTGATCTAGTATTCAAACGACAACTTAAATGTCTCCCGTTCCATTCACAGTTGAATTACTTCTCTAGAATTATCTTAGCAGTGCAAGCATGCATGCTGCAATTGACTGACTAAATGATTTAGCTATCAACCTAGAATAGTAAAAGCAAAATTCATCAGTTCAAACTGTCACACTGCTTATAGCATACAAAGGCAAAGGTAGAGAGAAATTTACTCAACGGAACCATAATAAAGGGAAATGCACCAAAGAAATAATAGTCACCTGGATAATAAAGGGGATTTGATTAATCTAGGATTTCATAGAAAGTGATTACATTTACGGCATTGACAGAGATCATTAAGCCATATCTTGACACCAAGAGGACCCTAGTCAGAAAGTTTACACTTCCTTAACGTGACCCACACCTACAGTCAAAGACAACCTGGATTGGTACCAGGTTTTGATTTGACGTCTTTCAACCTTTTTCAACTTAATCCATATGCCAGCCGGGAGTTGACACAGAATGCGTAGCACGTGTCCTAACCAACTTAATTCACAATGCAGCTTTCACGATCTCATCGATTGTTAGGTGTGATATAAAACAAAGAGAATGACAGCACTAATACACAGACACATAATTCTTTGAGGAATATTTAACTCGTACATTTTTGGTATTGTTATTCATTTGCTTTTATTCTTAACAAACACAAATCAGTTGGAATTATAATGCGTCTGTGTCGACGCAGTACAAATTGATCAATCCAAATAAAATTTATTGTTTTATAACAGTGAACACGTTTGAACATATAAGCAGATGTTTAGATAAATAAACAATACAGAATTCTGCACAAACATGTATTGTTTTAATTTGTTATGCTATACAACAGAACTTGTCCCACTACTGCCAACTTTCATGCCCAATTTTCAATTGACATTCAGTTTTTGTGGAACTTATAATAAGTTAAATAAGTTGATATAAACCTACACTTCTGTATGTCTGACTCAGAACAACAGTTAGAAGCTTTGTAAATTGATGACATTTCCGTAGTTTTACAACTTTTACATCTTTTCAACTTTATTCCGACTTCATCTGGCATTTCTGGTCGAAGAAAGTGGTATTTGGGAATGCTAGCCACCTCAGCTGATAGAAATTCGAAACTACACTCATTTAATACTGTGCGTGTAATGTCAGTGTGTTAGTCAGGTCAAAATAAACCACAGCACGAATTCATGAAAATTCAATTATTTACATCCCTTGAGTAGAAACCCAATGGAAAGCGACGAGTGGGTCGTCAATGCAAGGGTGACATGGGGGAGAGATCGTGTGAGGAAGAGATGACAGAGTTTGGGCAATCGCGGACTCAGCTGAAGAGGATGGCAGAAAATAGAACAAAGTGGAGATGTGTTGTTGAAGCCCTATGTTCCACTCGGAACTCAAGGGATTTATGATAATAATGATAGCTTTCGAACTCTCTATCATTCATAATCTATTACATTACTCAAATATCAGTATCAAGCCAGATTTTCTGGTTAAAGTGTAGCAAATTTAAAGCAGTTCAAGAATATAATGCCATAGATAATAAGAACACCAGAAAAAGTTGTTTTTCCAATGCAGAAGTTCATTAAAAAAACTTGTAAAAACATATAACTTGTCACTAGACCACCATAGCAACGGCCTACAACGCTATGACTAACGGGGATATACGATGAAGCCACTCGATAAAACTGACGCTAAAAACTACGCATCTCAACATATCCAAAAACAGCTCGATATCTTAAAGGACATATACGGTTCAGGATTCTTAAAATTTCAAATATACATGAATCTTTTCGGTGTGAGCTGCTAGCCTGACAATGACAGACGTATTCCACTTGTATTAAACACAAAGATAATGGAATAGAAATTTCATTTTATGATTTTTTTAATTTATTGCCTGAATATATTTTATTCGTCAAGCATTTTTAATACCATTAAGGTGTATCATTGGCATTGTTTAAATTCATTTGTATTTCCTGCCTATTGACCAGTATGACCGGTCCAAGTCGAAATGTTGGCTCTCAGTATGAGTGCCTCAGAACTGTCTGAAAATTAACATGATTTTGCTTAGTTACATGATGACTAGTATTAGAATCCAGGATATGCATTTTGTCTTATTTGACACTCGTCATCAGGCCGTACCTTCATCCCTAATGATAATGTAGTAGTCCAGCGTAATTAATTTTAATTTTTAATTTTTGGTTACAGCTTGATGCCACACCGTATTTTCAGTACAAGTATGGAATTTTCAGCATGTGATATCGGTAGCCCAAATTTTGCAGACCGACCACAGATATCGGGTGTTCGTCGGCAGGGGATCGAACCCCGGACCATAAGCATGATCGGCAAGAGTCCTAGCCACTGTGCCACCAACATGAAGATAAAATTAACTGAAACACCAATAATAGCTGACACTCGATGAACAATATTAGCCTCTCATAGCCCAGTAGCCTAGAGGATAACGTTTTGGTGCTTAAAAAGATGAGCACATGGTTGCAGTCTCAGTGGGAAATCATTACCCACTAGGGATGTAGGTAAATCCAAGTGGTGACACTCAAAAAAGATGAAATGCGCATCCTTGATTCCACTAAAGCCAGTCACAATCAGCTAAAATAACAAGGTTATTAGCAATAACTGCCTTTGTGATGGTTTTACCTACAATGATAATAAATGCTTTGGAATCTAAGCTGTGACAGTGTGAACTATAACTATTCTTTAACATCTAAGGATACCTATTAAAAAAAATTTCAAGCCTGATGAAGAACTGACTTCAGTTAGGGAACCATTGAAAAACAGGGGTACTGGACAGTTGTTTTGCCCTAAATTGAGACACTTCAGCAGGAAGTTTTAGTTTGACCAGTGAAGTGTATCAGGTTACGTGATAGGACAAATATTCACCTATGACATTAGCTGTCAGCTGCGCTGAATGTCGCAAATCAAAAGAATCTAAAATTTATAGGCCACTAGATTCGGACCCACTGGCGCAATGCTCAACATGCCCACCACGTAAACCGAAGGTCTTAGATGCGATCCCTGATGGATTCATGAGTACGTATTACCGAGAAGTTTGAAACTAGCACGAAACAGCTATTCAGTACGTCCTGAAGTAAGTTGATGTTCAAAAATCAGTCAAATCTCTGCGGCTCAACAATTAGAAAACAGAATTCTAAGAAAAAAAGCTCAATAAATAAAGTCTGACGAAACGGGCTAGACTTGTAACCAGACAATCTTGAGTTCGAACCCCAGTGGATGCGTACTGCTGAAGAGTCCCAAACTAAGCTGACAAAACAGCTGTCTGGCAGTACTCCCTAGTGGTTTTCCAATGGTTTTCTAACCAATATCAGCTCATGAAGAAATCCTGACACCAGTCAAATCCCTACAAACCAACACTTGAACGTTACATAAATTTGAAAATCACAAATAAAAATTGAAATTATTATGATTAATAACCATAATCATTAGTTATTCTTCTGCAAAAACACTTACTTGGACTACTCATTGACCGACAATGACTTTGTTGTTTACGTAGTGTTTTTCGTCGTTGTGAATTTTCATCACCACAATTTATAATTTCATCATTATTATTTTTTTCAGTCTTAGCAACCTGATGTTTATCACTTGCCCTTTTTTTGTAGACAACATCATTATTATTCCATGACTGTTTACCATGATCATTATTTATTGAATTTTGTTTTAAATTCCCTTGTTTATGTGTAGCGACTTTACCTTGGTTTTGATTTTGATCATTTTTAAGACTGATTCTCCGATTACAATCATTTAATGATAAGGCTGTAGTTATTTCTTGATTGATTGATTTGTCTTTTCTCTGAATGAATTGATTTTGACAGCTATCTTGTTGAGGAGTTGTATAATAATAATTTTCAGTTAAGGAATGATGATGTTGACGATGATTTTGGGTGTGTTGTTGTTGGTGTTGGTGTTGAAGTGACACAGTTGATATTGATAATGATGAATGTGTAGAGCTTTCACTTGTTGTAGGACAATAAATTCCGTTAACTTCACATGATTTCTCCTCCTCTTCATCACCCTCTTCCTCCTTCTTCTCCTGTTGTTCATAACATAATAATCCAGGTGTAAATGACTCTTTAGATATGTGTAAAGGTGTCAAGAGTACAGAAGACGATGATAGTGATGAAGATAATAATAAACATGAAGAATCAATAGTAGGAGATCGTGGAATAGGAGAGTCTTTTCTTTCAGCATTTAAAGATATTTCTTTAACAGCTCCACAACTACTAGTCTCTTGATCAGTGGTAATATTAGCATTAGCGTCATCATCGCCATCATTATCATCGTGAAAAATTCTAACTTCATCAATATCATTCTCATCTTCATCTTCATCATCATCATCATATGCATTAAAAGATCTTGTATCAAATGATTTCATTGAATTCGGTGGCGGTGATGATGATGATAATAATAATAATAATTCATTGCAATGATGATGATGGTTGATTAAGTTTTCTTGAGGAGATTTCATTGAACAATGTAATAATGATGAATTATTATCATCACTTGCCTTGCTTGATGTTGATGACAACAAAGTTGATGCAATAAGTAATGATGATGATTTTGTTGATGTTGATGATGAAGTTGTTGGTGGAAATGGTGTTGTAGAGGTTGTTGTTGTTGTTCCTGTGGCTATTCCACTTGTTTCTCCAGTAATAGTTGTTATGCTTGGTGTTATTCCACTGCCAACAGTTGGAAATAAATAATCTTGAACTTGAGAATTAGTCATAAGTGTAGTTAACATCCATCCATTATTATATATGTGTATGTATATGATATTTATTGTATAAAGACAGAAAGGTTAATTGAGTATATCTTTCGATTTCAATGTCATCATAATCCATTTTTCTTTTTTAAATTTTGTTTGTTACTCTTTATGAATAATCCAAATTTTTGAATTGAAATAAATTGACATTAAATGATCGTAGAAAGAATAAATCTGAAATAAAAAGAGAATATGATTGAAACGCCTTGTCACAGAGTTGAAATAAAAACTGATAGTCTTTGGTAGATGGTGATTACCAGAGGAATCCAGTATGAGTATTTCGTCCCATCTAGGCCTCATCAGCCAGATGTCCATGCATCCTCAGTGATGTTTGAAATGATATATTACTAGGTCTGAATCTCAATTGGAACACCATCACTCACTCATTGGAGAATGCAGGGACATCCCAATGAAGAGTCGCAGATAGGACGAAATACACACACGTTGAATTCCACTTCTGGTCACCATCCATCAAATAACATGATGTTAATCTCTTGTGCGTCGGTGGCACAGTGGTTAAGACGCTCGCCGACCATGCACATGGTCCGGGGTTCGATACCCGGCCGACACACTCCTTTACCTCGCTAAGCCAGTAATAGAACTGGCGAAGAGGGAAGGTTGGGCATGAGGCTAGCAACCCCATCCTGTAAAAATAAACACTGCTAAGAAACTTCAAGCCCTAGCTTGAGCCCTATGTTCCCTGGGAACGTGAAGGAATAAAAAAATCTTTACACACTGTCGAAGCATCTATACTACAAGCCGACACATCTCAATGCAGATCAAAGATCTCGGTTCAACATAATCAATCAACAGGATATACAAAATTCACTTAAAGAAATGAAATAGAAACTGCTTACAGTTATAATTATGTATCAGTAGTACATATGTAACAACAGAAGACAAGGGCCAGGCAACAGATCGTTTACTAAGGAAATCAAAGCATATTTATATATTTTCATGTACATTATTATAGATTAGTTAAGCAAACAAACACAGTCTTCTGATTGGTTGTTTCTCACTTAAAGTTAATCTTTCATCTCTTTGTGACTGTTTCTTGAATGTCAGATCGTCTATATGTTAACTGTATTCGCCTACGCAAAGTCTGCTGTGGTCAGTTTTTGAATCAGTCTTTGTTCATATTTTCTCACAAACAATCTTGAGAACGTAAACATTGACGTAAATTACTGTCTACCAATTTGGCTAGTAGACAGGTCTCACCACACATACATTGGTAGAATGCTCTTGTCAAGTATGCACGTGTTTTTGGTTCAATTCCCAACGGATGTATTCCTAATTCTGGCCTACTTTACTAACCAATAGTAAACCAAGAAAAGAGAGATAGTGTTGACAGTGAGTGTTGAGATATCACTACCTCGTAAAATAATAACATCAACCATTGCTACTGAAACTTATACACTCTCCAGATAGTTTTTAATTATCAGACATTTTTCATTACGAGACATTCTCATATATAGTAAGTGGATTGTTTCATTTTTTTTGAGTGGATGTCATTCTTAAATTAGAAGACTACAACACAATGGATATAGAATAGTACTCCATAATATCATTTCTTTTAACTAAAAAGATGATGACGAAAGCAGTAAGATCCTGTCATTACAGCTAAAGGAAAAAGTTTTAATCTCCCGTCTATAAAATCTGTATGCCTCTAACTGACAAATCACAGAAGATACGATAAAAGTTTCTACAGGGAATTTATAGTATCAAAGAAAGCCTTCAATAACAAAAAAAAGCTGATTACCAGATCCTTAGAGAAAAGAGACTGCTTCCTTCCCATATGGGAATTCAATGATAATAGATTAGAATAAAAGGGATTACAAAAAAATTAACATTCTGCCTAGTGACAATGACAACTGCTCTGTGTTAGTTATCCCATAGTGAAGACATGTGTAAGAAAGTGAGTGAAAAGCGGTAGAAATAACCAACACATACATAGATGACAAAAGAATGAGTGCAAAGTAAGATAATTTAAAAAAAAACTTGCTGTGAATTCTCAGTTAGTTTTAATCATACAACGTCATAATCACTTCAGTGTGTTTTTTTTCACAAATCTGCGTATTATAAAAATTAAAACCACAACCATTCTTCTAGTTTTGTACCGCTTCAGTTTGATTTTAGTTTAAATTTTAAAGTGTGAACACACTTGTTTATCAATTTTGTGCAGGAAAAAGAAGAAATTAAGAGTAACAACAATACCCTCTGTGCGTCGGTGGCACAGTGGTAGAATGCTCGCTAACCACGCAGGTGGTTTGGGGTTCGATCCCCAGTCGATGGACTCCTTTACCTGGTAAAGAAGGAAGGTTGGGTGAACATGAGGCTAACAAACGCATCCCGTAAAAATAAATACCACTGCCCTATGTTCCACTGGGAACGTAAAAGGAATAAAATAAAATAATAATACGATATAATAATAATAATTTGCTTTATTCCAGAAACAGTACTAGTGGCACAATGTGGAATTTTCAGCACATATCTACAACATTTGCATCTAATTTTATCAAACATTTAAAAGGAGTATTTCAAAAAATAAATATAAAGACAACAACAACAAAAAACACAAAAATAATTTTTTTAAATGCGAAAAAATACCAAGAAGTAGAAAGGAAAATAAACAATATAAAATAATACCTCAGTATTGGGTAGTGGAAGCTATGATATGATTATGCATGGTGACAATAAAGCTGTAGTCATACAAGAAGTTATGAAATGATATTTAAGAATGCTTATCGCCAAGATAATCAGTTAATTTGGTTGAAACAACACTAAACAATCATAAAATAACATTTCAGGGTTGTTGTTTTTTATTGTCAAGATTGTTTATGCCATTAAAATTATAAAATCTTTTTTTAATGACTTCTATTTACAGTAATTTCAGCAATACAACTGCCTTATTCACAATGAAATAACCCGTTTTACTGACTTCCTGTTACTCATTTTTCGCCAGTGCCTAGCAGTACAACACAGGATATGCGTTTTGTCCTGTCTGGAACTCGTTGGCGAGACTCCGTTTAAACAGCATATACGCTAAAATGAATATTGATTAATTTGGTCCAGATATATCAACGGGAGATTGCAGACATGAGCACAAATGAGAAATAGCCTTGTAAGATATATCTTTCAATGAATCAAATCTAGCCTAATAAATAATTGTCATTTTCACATTTATTACTTGTTCCTTTTTATAATGGTCGTCTAGACCACTTTCAGTTTTGTAGAATTAGATTACTTACATTTTGTAACACTGAGATTTAGGTATGTTTGTTAACTTTCAGATCAATTCAGATTATATATTAAGTTATCATCAAAGTACAAACCGACAGCTGCTACTTGCATATCTCAACGAACTATCGTGTTACACTAGCTGAAACGAATGTTCCTGGGGGCCCTACTATATCGTAGATGTCAAATCGATAGTGGTTAGACAAAAAGAAATTACGATCATAACGCCTGACAGAGAATAGAGACATAACAGCTATAAGACGCTCCTCTCAGACAACCAGTAAGCCACTTATACTGCTTCTTCACCCTAGAGATAAGGGTTATAAAGGTCAACTCCAAAAATGGTATACTCTTATTTATCCTGTGGTGGTCGACAGTTGATGTTAAGGTCTTTATATTAGCACAGCTTTTTAACCAAATACTGAACAAGCTACATTAGCCTAACCGTGTTAGCCATAGTCACATTTACTAGAAATAGGATAAATTAGATATATGTATGTGTGTGTGTCGGTGTATTTCAACTTAATTCTCTATCTATCATTTCTCTTTCCCTATTCTCTCCATCTTTATCTAGATAAGTTATTATTTTCGGTTTTATTGATTTCGCCTACATTGTTTTAAGCAGAGTAGGACTAAATTGGGGGGAAAAAAGATGAATATTTTTCAGACGGAAACATGATACTATTCATCCACAAGAGGAGTAATTGTTGCTTAAAGCCAAATGAGGATGTCTACATTAACTGGTTGACGTTAATGCGGCCAGAAACAGACACATGTATATTAGTTAGAAACACTAGGCAATACTACTCAGAATAGGTTTTTAGTGATATCAGTACATTCGTATTTTATCTTGACACTATCTACTTGTAATGTAATGCCTATTCAATATCTTTACGTTTTCTTAAAATGTTTTACATTTTGTATGTCATTCCACCTGACATGCATATATATATATATATATATATATATATATATATATAATATATATATAATATATATATATATATATATATATATATATATATATATGGTGGTTAAGATGATTACTTAGTATTTTCAAAATGTATGTTGGTGATATGTCTGTTTGTCTATCTACTTGTCTGTCCACCTACTACATTACTTAGTGATATGAATTTTGCTTTTACTCCAATTTTTTAAGAGGCTATAAACAAAAATGCTACTTTGTTTGAGTATCGCATTGTTACAACTTCTCATAATAACACGTGAAGAACCTAGAAGACCTGGCTTTCGCGGATGATTTATGTTTGATGTCACACAAAATCGAAGACTTACAAGCGAAAACCGACAAACTGGTCGAAGAGGCTGGCAGCAAACACAGGACTTCAGGTGAACATAGACAAGACGGAGGTTACGAAAATAACCAACCAACCAACAACAACAACATTGGCAGCAACATCGACCGCCAATCACCATCAACGGGAGGGATTTGAAAGAGGTTACTTCATTCACTTATCTAGGGAGCATTGTCTCAACTACACGAGGAACGGACGAAGATGTTAAATCGAGAATCGGGAAAGTGAGAAACACATTCATCAACCTGAAACCAATCTGGAAATCTGCATCACTCAGCATCAACAACAAAATTCGGATTTTCAATACAAACGTCAAGTCAGTCAGTTCTTCTATACGGATGGATCAGAAACTTGACGGCGGGTCACAAAGAATATTTCCAACAGCCTGTTGCAGACCTTTATCAACAACAACTG